GCATGCGTGCACTGCGCGCGTGCACGAGGACGCTGCCTGCCCCGTTCCAACCGAACCGGTTGGAACGTGGCGAGAAACCCACCCCTGCTCTGTTAGTAGTAAAATTTTCTGACCGCACACCAGTTCGACAATAATGGTGATTTTATGAAAACCTAATGAAAATTTTAAAATAATGCTATGACACTTTAAAAATAAATCAATTAAATTTTTTAAAAAAGGAAAGTGCTTCAGTATCGGACAAAACCCCTACCGCCCACCACGAAAGCTGGAACGCCCACTAGTGGGCGGTAGGGACCAGGTTGACTACCACTGGTCTAGAGCAGGGTGTCAAATTCAAGGCCTGGGGCCCAGATCAGCCCACAGTGCTTCTGCCAGTGAAAACAGAGTTTGGGAGGGCCAGACGCAGCTCTCCCAAGCTCCATATTTGGCTGTAATGGCCTCCTGCAGCACTCTGCCAGAGGAAACGGAACTCAGGAATGCCGCGCACGGCCCTCCCGAGCTCCGTTTTCACTGGCAGAGCGCTGGAGGAGGCCGTCGCAGCAAAAATGGAGCCTTGGGGGAGAGGGTGAGATGAGTTATATTGAGATGGCCATGCCCCCTATCCCTGCCGAGGTCAAACACAACCCTGATGCGACCCTCCAGGAAATCAGGTTTGACACCCCTAGTCTAGATCTAATGACACTGCATTTTGCACCAACTGGAGCTTTCGGATCCCAGTTGGGTTCCTACCGGTTCGGACCGGTTCGGCCGAGTAGGTAGTAATTCGGCCGAACATGCCTCCAAACCCATTCTATCGGCGGCACCGTAGGCACCGCAATCTCGTTTTTTGTTTTTGCACATGTGCAGAAGCAATTTTTTTCACTACTGTGCATGAGCACGAAGCACGCATCAAGCGCGTGCATGCCCGAAGCACATTCCTGAGCAAACCAGCAATAACAGAATCCGGAACCAACCCTTGTTCCGGATGCTCTTCAAGGCAGCCCCATATAGAGCGAATTGCAATAGTCAAGACAGGAAATGAGATGGGGATGAGTGACTGTGAGTAGGGATTGCCAGTCGAGGAAAGGGCTTAACTGGGGCACAACCCACAGTTGCACAAAGGGCCATTGCGTGGTTGATTGAGTAAGAAATCCTGGAGCTATAAGTAGATTGGGAAATTGAAATAAACATCCCAGAAAAAATGGAAAGCATTTCTAAATTTATTACATTTCTAATATATCACACTGTTGTTGCTCTTTATGGGAGTTGACTTGATGACATTTTTACTTTGATTATGGGTGTTTGAAGGATCCTGATATCTACTGTTAATCACTGCAGTGGAAACATATTCATTTATTTCTATCTAGCCTGCCTTTATTAGTTTTACAAATAATTCAAGGTGGTGAAACATATCAGAATGATTAGGGAACTGGAGGCCAAAACATATAAAAAACGGTTGCAGGAACTGGGTATGTCTAGTTTAATGAAAAGAAGGACTAGGGGAGACATGATTTCAGTGTTCGAATATCTCAAGGGCTGCCACAAAGAAGAGGGGGTCGAGCTGTTCTCCAAAGCACCTGAGGGCAGGACAAGAAGCAATGGGTGGAAACTAATCAAGGAGAGAAGCAACTTAGAACTTCCTGGCAGTGAGAACAATTAATCAGTGGAACAACTTGCCTCCAGAAGTTGTGAATGCTCCAATACTGAGAGTTTTTAAGAAGATGTTGGATAACCATTTGTCTGAAGTGGTGTAGGGTTTCCTGCCTAAGCAGGGGGTTGGACTAGAAGACCTCCAAGGTCCCTTCCATCTCTGTTATTCTAAGTACATGAATTAATTAAATAAATATTCCGAATCAGCAGCTAGTTCAGGATTCACTGTCTGACATCTTGACAGACTGAAGCACCTGTAATGGACTTTATCACAATTTCGGTATCTATACTGATCTTGAAATATAGTTTCAACTTCAGCTCAATAGACTTATGAGAATATCTCTCATCTTTGTCACACCTTTTTTTATTCAGCAAGAACATTTATTCCTGCTTTTATGGT